GGAAATGGAGGAGAGAGACCCCTCAAGACCCTCCGAGAGACCCCCGAAAAAAACGGAAAAAATCGGGGTGGAAATCGGGGGAGAGACCCCCAAAAAACCCCCGAGAGACCCCAAAAAAACCCCCGAAAAAACAGAAAAATCGGGGTGAAAATCCGGCGGAAATGGGGGTGAGAGAACACAAAAATCGGGATAAAAATCCCGTGGAAATTGGGGTCAGAGACCCCCCAAAAAACCCCGAAAAAACGGAAAAAAATCGGGGTGGAAATGGGGGGAGAGACCCCCCCAAAAAACCCCAAGAGACGAGAGAGAGAATGGAAAAAATCGGGGTGAAAATTCCGTGGAAATGGGGGGAGAGACCCCCGAGAGAATGGAAAAAAATTGGGGTGAAAATCCCGCGGAGATGGGGGGAAAGACCCCAAAAATCCCCCAAGAGCCCCCCCAAAAAACCACAAAAAATTGGGGTAAAAATCCTGCAGAAATGGAAAAATTTGGGGGAAAATCCCGCGGAAATGGAGGTGAAAGACACCCCGAGAGACCCCAAAAATTGGGGTGAAAATCCTTCGGAAATGGGGGCGAGAGACCCCAAAAATCGGGGTGAAAATCTTTTGGAAATGGGGGAAAAGACCCCAAAAATTGGGGTGAAAATCTTTTGGAAATGGGGGAAAAGACCCCAAAAATTTGGGTGAAAACCCCGCAAAAATGGGGGTGGGGACAATGAAAAAAAGGGGGTTGGACTTTGGGAAAAACGGGGGTGGGGGAGACCCGAAAATGGGGTGGAATCACCCAAAAAATGGGGTGGAACCCCCCAAAAAATGGGGTTTGACCCCTCCGTGGACACTGAAAATGTGGGGTTGGACCCCCCCCAAAAATGGGGTGGAATCTCCCTCATGGACAATTGAAAATGTGGGGTTGGACCCCCCCAAAAATGGGGTGGAACCCCCCAAAAATGGGGTCGGACCCCCAATGGACACTGGAAAATGTGGGGTTGGACCCCCCCCCAAAAAAAAGAGGTTGGTTGCTCCCAAAAAATGGAGTTGGACCCCCCCAAAAATGGGGTTGGAACCTCCCATGGACACTGGAAAATGGGGGGTTTGACCCCCCCAAAAAATGGGTTTGGAACCCCTCCCATGGACTCTGAAAATGTGGGGTTGGACCCCCCCAAAAATGGTTTGACCCCCCCAAAAAAATGGGTTTGGACCCCCCCAAAAAATGGGATGGGACCCCCCCAATGGACTCTGAAATCCCCCCAAAAATGGGGTTGGACCCCCCTAAAAAATGGGATTGGACCCCCCAAAATAGGGTTGGACCCCCCAAAAAATGGGATTGGACCCCCCAAAAATGGGTTTGGACCC